TATAATTTTTTTTATTGATTTTTTTACAGAGAGGAAGGGAAAGGGAGAGAGAGTTAGAAACATCGATGAGAGAGAAACATCAATCAGCTGCCTCCTGCACACCCCCCACTAGGGATGTGCCCGCAACCCAGGCACATGCCCCTGACCAGAATTGAACCCGGGACCCCTCAGTCCGAAGGCCGACGCTCTATCTGCTGAGCCAAACCGGTTAGGGCTAAAAGCAACTTTTTTTTAAGGGCACATGGATTGAGGACGGGTGTACTCCCCTTTCTGTGGCAAACATAAGACAGCACGCTTGCAAGTAGTACGAATAACATTTGTTGTGGGTTTAACAGCAAATGTTATTAGCGTTACTTGCAAATATCCACAGAAGTCTAAAATGGTGACTCGGGTAATGATTCTCAATGAAGGTGGAGGAAGAGAGAGTGGTGTCAGAATCAAACCCCATGAGCATCTCCAAACTACACAGCAACCAGGAGTTTGGAACCCAGAGTGAAGCCAGCACTTCTGGGATGTGTGGCTTCTGCCCCGGAATGCTGCCTCCTTCCTTATTTCCCTCCGGGCCTATCCAAGGGTCTTCAGTCCCTCCAGAGAGCATTTCAAATCCTCTCCTTGGCAAGTGAGGAGAAGTGGTTTGTTCTCTCGGATCAGTTACCCTGGGTCTTTGGCCCCAAACTCCCTTTGGGCACTGCTATTCCTTTCAGGACCTTTTCTTTTTCAATGCCAGCAACGGTGCCTGCCACCTGCGGCCTCGGGGTGTCCTTGGGTATGTACATATGCCATCTTCCCTGTCAGCTCAGAGGCTCGGGGGCAGGATTCCTGCCTGATTCCACGCCGGGCCTCTAAAGCTCCCAGCATCGGTGCCTTCACAAAAAGGCTCAGTGAATGCCCGTGGAAAGGAAGGCTAGCTACACGAGCACCCAAGCTCTTGTGTTATCAGCAAGTACATCTACTGCACAAAATGCAGGTAACTGGCACCTAAAGTTTCCTGGAATTAAAAGTAATAAAAATTGCATCATACACTCCTGTCATGGTTTCCCTAAGGCTGTGATAAATCACAAATGAACTCTGGCCCTCCTCCTACCAGTGGTCGGCAAACTGCGGCTCGGCAAACCGGGGCTCGCGAGCCACATATGGCTCTTTGGCCCCTTCAGTGTGGCTCTTCCACAAAATACCGACTTCTGCCCATGGGCCACGAAGTTTCAATCACACTGTACGTGCGCACCCGCACGTGGTATTTTGTGGAAGAGCCACACTGAAGGAGCCAAAGAGCCACATGTGGCTCGTGAGCCGCAGTTTGCCGACCACGGTGATCTAAACAAACACTTCACCTGCACAATCCTTCACCTGCACAGTCCCTCACCTGGTACAATCCCTCACCTGGTACAATCCCTCACCTGGTACAATCCCTCACCTGGTACAATCCCTCACCTGCACAATCCCTCACCTGGCAGCTACGTCTGTGCTCGAGGCTCAATTTTCCTCCTACTTGCCAGGCCCTGGACAAATTATTTAAGCAGTCTGAGCTCCCTTCATCTTCAGACGGGGCGCTATAAATTGTGATATAATCCTAATGAGGCTATCCTCAAAGCTGGCTGTGGGGGAGATGCGTTAACACATCTCCATGTGCCTGGCGCCTCACGGACATTCCATCCATTCGCCAACTTCCTGCTCTACACCAGCACAGCTCGGGATTTGTACTCAAGCAAGACCACTCTGATTGCTGACTCGGAATGGGCCCCAGCGGTGCTGACCCAAGAAGCACCTTCCGCAGGTGGTCACAGCAGCGCCACGGGGGCTGCAGCAGGTGCGGACAGAACGCATCCCGGAGGGAGAACGCATCCCAGAGGGACAACGGCCGGGGTCCTCTCACTGAAAATGGGGGCAGTGGAAGGGAGATGGGGGGTCCCGGGTGAAGCACAGGCTTCTGATGAAGGCAGCTGGGTGGGTGGACATCGGTCCCATGCACTGGGATAAATAATGCAGAAGGAGCCCTGACCGGTTTGGCTCAGTGGATAGAGCGTCGGCCTGCGGACTGAAAGGTCCCAGGTTCGATTCTGGTCAAGGGCATGTACCTTGGTTGCGGGCACATCCCCAGTAGGGAGTGTGCAGGAGGCAGCTGATCGATGTTTCTCTGTCATTGATGTTTCTAACTCTCTATCCCTCTCTGTAAAAAATCAAGAAAATATATTTTAAAAAAATAATGCAGAAGGAGATGCCATGGTAGCAGGGAGGGGGCTGGGCTGGGTCTGGGATCTGTGGGGCGGCAGTGCCTCTCCACACCACCTGTCTTCCCGCAGTCCGGGCTCTGAAAGAGGGGTGCGCAGTGAGAAACTGGGGCGCCCCCTCCCGGTGGAACGGGAGACCGATGGGGATGGAGAAGGCGGCTCCGGGGAGCATGTGCATGAACTGGAGCTGACGCTGGCCCTGGGAGCCCCTGCACTGAGGCAGGGGGGCCAGCCCGGGCCAGGGGAGGGCTGTGGGGGGCACAACCCCACCCCGTCTCCCCGAAATGCAGCGCCACGACCATGTCCCGTTATGCCGCTGTCCTGGTAGAGGGCCTAGGACTTGCGTTAGATGCCCAGCGGGCTCCCGACCCTCCAGGACCTAGGGGCCGGCAGACATGGGTGACCGGGAAGAGACCCGGGAGGAAGTCGGGGAGGGGAGTCAGGGGGCGCGGGCGCCGGCAGGCCCGCGGGTTCAAGTCGGGAAGAGGTTCTCAAGGGGCCCGGGATCAAGGGCACCCGGTCC